GATTCCTCAGCACCATGTAAGCAGCAAAAGCCGGAAGTGGTGCTGTGGCTAAAATGGTAGAGTGCTAGCCTTGAGCTGAAGAACTGAGGGACAATGTCAAGGCCCAGAGTTCAGGCCCCACGACCGACAACAAAAAAACAGCTATATATATTTTATAATATATAGTACAGACATACTATATATTATACAATATATATGCTACATATAATATTAGATACACATACTCTATTACATATTATATAATATAGATATAGTATTTATTCATTACAAATATATGTGTTTACTTGTTTATGAGGCAGTCTTTTCTCCAATTTTTTTAATCTTTTATTGACAATGGGCATATTAATGGGGCTGCAATCTCATTGGTCTGTTTTTCTGTTGCTATTCCAAAAGCATGCTCTTTCTGTTACTATTGCTCTATGGGTTATTTTAGAGACAGAAATCTTGGTATCTTCATTTTTATCTTTTTTTTCTCATGGTAGTTTTAGCTATTGTGTGTCCTTTATGGTTCCCTATCAATTTTTCGATTCTTTTATTTTTGATTCTTTTCTTGTGAAATGAATATCATCAGGGTTTAGATGGATATTTCATTGAATCTGTAATCACTTTCTCTAATATAGCCATTTTCACAATATTAATTCTACTGTTCCATGAACATGGGAGAACTTTCCAGCTTCTAATAACTTCCATTTCTTTTCTTCAGTGTTTTATAGTGTTCATTGTACAGATCTTTTACCATCTTCATTGAGTTTATACTTAGGTAAAATTTGAGATTCTTCTGAATATAATTACTTTCCTGGTTTATTTTTAAGAATGCTCAATATTCATATATATACATATATGAATACAAAATCAGGAAAAATTTATATATATATATATATATGTTCCTGATTTTTGAATGTTGATTTTGTATTTTGTTACTTGTCTTAAAGTGTTTATTAGATCTACGATGGTCTTCATATAGTCTTTATGACCCTTTAAATATAGGATCATGTGTCTAATGTGCAAATAGGGCACTGTGACTTCTTTCTTGCCTGTGTGCATCCCATTTAAAGTTTTCTCATACCTTACTGCTTGGCTAAGATTCAAGCACTTTAATGAATAAGAGTAGTAAGAGTGAGTTGGGTGCCGATGGCTCACACCTGTAATTCTAGCTACTCAGGTGACTGAGATCTGAGAATTGTGGTTCAAAGCCAAGCTGATAGGGAAATTCATGAGATAGTTCCAATTAACCACCAAAAAGCTGGAAGTAGCAATTGGTAGAGCACTAGCATTGAGAGCATTGAGTAAAATCTCACAGGCAGTGCTCATGCACTGGGTTTAAGTCCCAGGACTAGAGTGCCTACACACACACATACACACACACACACACACACACACACACACGAGTCTTGACATTTTTAGCTCTTTTCCATTTTGGGGGAAAGCCTTGAAGTTTTCCCTTATTCAATGTAAGGTTAACTATTGGTTAATATATACAATCTTTAAGAATAGCTGTTCAGGTTAATATTTATCCTGCTACTTGAAAGGGACTGATTTGTTCAACTTCATTTCATGGACTAGAAATTTTATTCCGGATATTTTCACTCATTATGAGAATGCTTGCTTAGAAACTATTTGTTTAAACACATTGTTTTTCTTTTTTTTAATTTAATTTAATTTAATTTGTGAACATACTGTACAGAGGAGTTACAATTACATGGGCAGGATAATGCGTACATTTCTTACCAAGCATTGCAGCCTCCTCCTTTGTTTACCCTTCACATCCCTTCCCAGCCTCCCCGCTCCCCCCCAATCCCAATCCTTCTCCTTTCCCCCCCGCACAGACGTTGTAAAACTCGTTTTGGACATGACAACTTGTACTTCTCATTGTTGCAACAGGTCCGCCTGTATCCTACAGTGTTTTTCTCTTTAATTTTTTATTGTGAAAATACCATACAGAGGGGTTACAAATACATGGGCATGGTATCAAGCATTGTTACCTCCTCCTTTGTTTCCCCTTCCCATCCTTTCCCATCCCCCCCTGAAAGTTGTAAAGTTCATTTTTCAACATAACATTTTGTATATTTCATTGTTGCAATGGGTCCACCTGTATCCCTATTTGAACAATTTGTTTTTTCCCTTCCCCTCCACAAATTATACCAGCATCAAATACAGTGAAAACAGGGGTTATACCATGGGGGAGGGACATACAAAGCAACAAATAAATCATCTTATAAATATGTTAGAGACAAGCGCAAGAAAGAAAAAAAATATTTGATTCCTTATCTTGGGGTTCATTAACTTATCTGACCTTTTCTGCTTGTCTCAGACATATATTAGTTATTGCAAATAAGGGAAACCATGGGACCTATGTTTCTTTGGGCCTGGCTTACTTCACCTAATATAATTTTTTCCAAGTCTTTCCATTTCCTAACAAATGGGGCAGCGTCATTCTTTCTGATAGAGGCATAGAATTCCATTGTGTATATTTACCACATTTTCTTGATCCATTCATCAACTGAGGGGCATCTGGGTTGGTTCCATATCTTAGCTATGGTAAATAATGCTGCAATTAACATAGTTGTGCTGGTAGCTTTAGTGTGGTCTTGTTTGTGATCATTTGGATAAATGTCCAAAGGTAAGATTGCTGGGTCATAGGGGAGCTCTATGTGGAGTCTTTTGAGGAACCTCCAAACTACTTTCCAAAGTGGTTGAACAAGTTTACACTCCTACTAACAGTGCAGTAAGGTTCCCTTCTGTCCACATCCCCTCCACCATCTGTTGTTATTAGAGTTATTAGAGGTGGTATCTCAATGTTGTTTTGATTTGCATTTCTTTTATGGCTAGGAAGTTGAGCATTTCTTCATGTGTCTATTGGTCATCCTTTTTTCCTCTTACTTATTTCCACTTATCTATTGGGCAGTTGTTTCTTTGAGAATTTGTTGTTGGGGGATTTAATTTTTTGAGTTCCAGATATATTTTAGATATGAGACCCTTGTCTGTTGTATGGCTAGCGAAGATCTCCCAATTCATGGGCTTTCTATTGATCTTGCTAGCGATGTCCTTTGCCATACAGAAGCTCTGCAATTTCATGCAAACCTGTTTGTTCAACCATTCTTTGATTTGTTGTGTTTCTAGGTCTCTATTAAGAAAATTTTGGCCTGTGCCAACGAGACCTAGGGTTTCTCCTACTCCATCCTCTCAGGTTTTCAGAGTGTCTGCTTTGACTCCGAGGTCTTTGATCCATTTGGAGTTGATTCTGGTGCAGGGTGATCAAATATTTTAATGCTACCTACAATAAATTTATGCCAAAACAAACCCACACTGCCAAATGTGTTCTCCTTATCTCCTGTCAGGACTCTTTCTTTTAAACTTATCAGATTGATTTAATTGATAAATAAAATTTTATGCATTTATCATTTCCAACATGGTACTTTTCAATTTGTATACATTGTGGAGTGATGAAACTTAAACAATTAACATATATTTTGCCTCAGGTATTTACCCTATTTTTGGATGAGACCACCTGAAAGCTGATAACATAAAAATTTTAGAGAATGCAATGTGTTGTGATGAGCTAGTTTATGTAATGTTTCTCTTGAATTTATTTATTTCTCCTGCCTAACTCAAACATTTTATTCATTGGCCTACATTTCCTCAAAATCTCAACATCAGCCCCTGGTATCTACCATTTTAGTATTTATTTATTTGCTTTTCACATTTTAGTCTCTAATGAATGTAATGCCTGGTGTTTATCACTTAGCAAGATATCGTACAAGTTCATCCTTATTAGTTACACATGACACAATTGCCTTCTTTTTAAAGGATGACTACTTGTTTCTTGTTTAAGACTTCTAATGAACAATTCTGGAATTAATGGTACACTTTACATTAAAAATTATTTTTAGATTGGGGTTACTTGTTTTTAACACAGTAGTTCCATTACAACACCAAGTAGCAAAAGAAGATTTTGGAAAAAGTGCCAGCTGTAATGAAGTACCACAGACTTTCAAAGAGTGGGTTTCATTCACTGTCTGGATTTGGTAAATGACTTGAAGTTGGACTTATGTGAATCATGTGTAAGACTTCATATATATATATATATATATATATATATATATATATATATATATACATATCAAAAGTCTTAGTAGGAAAGTGAAATCCAACTTCAATTTTCACACAGTTCAGAAATACTTAAAATCATTTTCTATATAGCATATTGGGTATTTTGTCTTATTTTGATTGAAGTAATATATGGCTCATTTTTAACACAGATATATTTGAGTCCTTACATACTTTAACACAAGTGAAATTTTGATTAGAAATTTTAAGGTTTGTTTACTTTGAGCCAAGGCATTAAGCTCTTTTGGGTAATTTACTACAAATGCATCATTTTAATTAACATGCTGATATAACGTTCTATGGAAAGGAAAATGTAAGATTTGCATTTAATTTTCTTATCTATGGAAAGCTACTCACATACATTGGCTACTTTTGAAAATTTGATTTAGAAAAAGAGATGAAAGAATGAAGATTTTAATGTAGGAACTGGTGGCTCATGCCTGTAATCCTAGCTACAGAGGAGGCTGAAATCTGAGTATTGGGGTTCAAGTCAACTGAGACAGAAAAGTTGTGAGATGCTTATCTCCAATTAACCACCAGAAATTCAGAAGTGGTATTGTGGCTCAATGTAGTAGAAGCCTTGAGTGAAAAAGTTCAGGGACAGTGCCTACACCTTTAATTCAAGCCCCATGACCAACCAAAAAAAAAAAGAATGAAGATTTTATGTGAATAAGGAAAAGCAATTAAATTCATTGCTCATTCCACTGGTCTGCTAAATTGCAAGGACATTGTAGGCTTGATTATTATGTTCTAATTAGTCTCTAGGGGGCGTTCATGGACAATGGAGTGCTCATTAATCTGTCTTCTTCCTGTAACATTGATTTGTTCATTACCATTTCAGAGTCTCAAATTTAGAAACTAAAAATTTATGTGGGGTATTAATGTACTTACAGATGTTGCTACCACTTATCCAGATAAGAAGTCTATCTTAATGTACATCACATCGCTCTTTCAAGTTTTGCCTCAACAAGTGAGCATTGAAGCTATCCAGGAAGTAGAAATGTTGCCAAGGCCATCAAAAGTGACTAGAGAAGAACATTTTCAATTACATCATCAGATGCACTATTCTCAACAGGTAAAGAATCCAAAGAACAGCTAATATGAAAATTATTTCCTATTCTATGCACATTTTTAGGTATTATACTCACATACTCAAGTGTGTTTACATACAATGGATAATGGACATATATGTATATATATATATCACATATATGTGCTATAATACATATATAAAGCCTACCATATTGTGTATATACATAATGATACAAACACCAACTATATGAATCATTTAAATTACATCTGATATGTACAATATTCTTTTCAAAGAACATTGTTCAAATATTGTGCTATTTATATGTATCATGTCATAGGAAAATAGATGTATTGCCTTTATTTTGGATAAAGTGAAATGAAAGGAAATGCAGAATAATATACATGTTAAAATTTTAACTCTAAAACATAAAACAAAGAGCCAATAGCCAAGCAAAAGCAAAGACAGGCACTCTAAAAATGTGTTTTCCATACTGGGATGTAGCTAAGTGTCAAAGTGCTTGCTTAGCAGATGCAACACTCTGGTTCAATCCCCAGTACCACACAAACATGTGTTTTTTCAAAAGCTTATTGGCACCTTATTGGATATATAATGATTTCTGGGTATAGAATGTAATCTTGTTGAGAGAAGAAAACATTTTATGATATTTCTAATACAAATTAAGTGGAGAATGCATATGTTGAAATTCTTATTAAATCATGAAATGAATTCAGAGGGCTTCTTTTATTAAGTGGTTTATTCTTTTTCTGAACAGTGAGATTTGGGGGTAATTTCTTGTATTTTTAGGTAAAAATAATGGAAAAGCCTTTAGTAAAATTTCTTCTGAAGGGAGGATAAATTCTCAAGCCTAATTTTCTCACTCTGAGCTAGTTCTATTTTTAGTTTATGAAAGCTTCAATCTTTTCCAGGGTATAGACCTGATGAATTCTGCCTTTGTTTACTTTGGGTTCAGAGAAAATTGCCTTTTTTTTTTTACCAGATTTAAAAGAATCATGCTACTAGAGTTGTGGAATTAGAGTAAACTAAAGTTGCTTTGCAGTGTGAATGCTTCAATATCACCCTAGTTACCTTTCCAAACTATCTGCTCTCCAATATGATAAGAATTGTAAATGCCACAATTCATTTTTTTCAGTATATAATCTATTTATTAACAGAACAGGCCTACAGACTCATTTCTTCTTGGACACACCCACAGTGCGAGCATGGGGTCTTGGTGTGTTGGCCTCTGACTCGAAGGCCCCAGAAGTGGCGCAGCCCTCCATGGGCTCGAATCTTTTTAAGCTGCTCCAGGTCTTCATGGAGCTTATTATCTAGACCATGGGCCAGAACCTGGCTGCATTTTCCATCCTTTCCATCCTTCTGTGTGTTTAAGAACCAGTCTGGGATCTTGTACTGACTTGGATTCTGCATAGCGGTAATCACACGTTCCCCCTCATCCTCTGTGAGTACTCCAGCCCTCTTGGTGACGTCAGCGTCCGCCTTCCTCAACACTACGTGAGCGGATCTTCGCCCCACACCCTTAATGGCAGTGCTGGCAAAGGCTATTTTCCACCGCCCATCGATATTGGTGTTGAGTACTCACAAAATGTGCTGGAACTTCTCAGGAATCACTAAAGACATGGGGCGGCAGCACCAGAGGCGGCGTGTAGGCCTCCTGTGGAAGTGCCACCATTTGTATGGCAGAACTTTTTAATGTCACTAATATGTGTTTAAGATGGAATGGTTCATCTCTTCTTTTCCATTTAATGTTTGGTTTCGTAGCATATTGGAACCATTCTTGCTGGATGATTTACCATGTCTATTTTCCTTCGCATTCCCTCTCTCCCAAACCCTCTACAGATCACAGTCAGTCTAGCACAAGGCTATGAGCGAACTTCTTCCTCTCCTAAGCCTCGCTTCAAGAGCTATGCCTACACTCAGGCTGCTTATGTCACCACCTCTGACCCTGTGCGGAGCCAGTTCCCTTCACAGGTTTGTCAATGTTTACTCTCTGTTCTAAGACTAGAGAATTTCCAAGATAACGTGACATTGCTTTTGCCTGTATGAAGTTTTCGGTGCTTTTATCCTTCCTTCAAAGCTATTTTGTTTTCCCCAGTTTTATTAGGATCTCTCACATGCTGCTGTTCTGTTGAGACTTTTCTAAATTTAATAAATATTCATTCATCATAAATTGTACTCTTGTGATATAATTATTCATAAGGTTCTCTTTTAGTTTTTGCAAAGACTGTTGTTCATTATACAAGCATGAAGTTTATGAAAAGATCCATATATGTAATGTTAAAAAAAGTGTGGACAAATATACAAAAGTACTAAGTGTACTTCCTATTGCTGAGGTTTTTCTAGATATCTAGCTCTTTTTCATTCATGAAATGATACTTTTAGAGGGTACATTTGTTAATTACATTCTATAAAGTATGGTGATATTCTGTTTAAGAAAATAAAACTGCAAGGTTTTTCCTGTGATCTCTTTAAATTTTGTTCATTTAAATTTTATAGAACAGGCTTTATAGAAGTTACAAGAAAAAGTCACATCAAAACAGACCCAATTCTATATAGACTTTAATATATTGTACACTGGGGACTGTTTCAGAAGTTTTTCAGACTTGCAATATAGTAGAAATCCTGAAGACATATGAAATTATAGCCTTATATGTATTAGAGCATGGAAATGAAGAGGACTAGAATAGCAAGATTTACAAGAATTTCTTTTTATAAGAAAGCTTTATTTGGCTCAATAGAGCTATTTGTAAAGTTGTTAAGAAAGTGTATTTTATCAAAACTACATTCTGAATGGCAGTTTATTCAGTATGGACCTGTTGGTGAATTTGAAAGTATACAATTTGAAGGGTTCATAAACTGTTTTCATGATAGTGGCCCGCATTTAATTATCAATTTATTTGGCAGCAATTGATAGATGAGGTAGAAAATTGTAAAGTGAAAAGTATTTTCACCATAGCAACCTCTATTTTAATGCTCAGCTATGCATTCTGTACTTGGCCAGTATTTTTGCAAAGCTGAACAAAAGACATTGAGTAAGAATATTTTTGTGACTTGGTATTAATTTTCAATTCTGTTTCTATGTGAATTTTCACAAAAGCTAGTTATATAATCTTGAACAAGAAATTTAAAACAGACTCTTCATTATCTATAAGTAACAATTCTACCACATTACTGCGTGTTTGTGTCACATGTCACAGTAATCTAATCCTTGTAACATCCATCAGAGAGAAGTGTTACTTTGATCTCCAATTTAAATTCAAATTAATCCACCTTTCTCTACTTACATACATCCCCTTCATTCTTTCTCAACTTTCTTCTGACTCTCTAAACTGTTTTTCAAATGAAAATTCTCCAATGGAAATGATTACTATTTAAGGAATAAGTTTTCTATCCTAAAATAAAGGAACCAATACAAATGTTCCTCTCTGCCCACATTATCACTTTCTTTTTTTAAATTTTTTTTATTGTGAAAATACTGTACAGAGGGGTTACAATTACATAGGCAAGATAATGGGTACATTTCTTATCAAGCATTGTAGCCTCCTCCTTTGTTTCCCCTTCCCATCCCTTCCCATCCTCCCCCCCCCCCCCCCCCACCCCCCCCCCGCCCCCGCCCCAAAGTTGTAAAGTTCGTTTTCAACATAATGACTTGTACATCTCATTGTTGCAATGGGTCCACCTGCCTCTTTTGTGATACTCATTATCACTTTCTTAAGCTGAATTTTCTGGTTTTTCTCCAATGCCTATACTTTGGTGTGCTTTTACATCATTATTGCCTCATTAAGGCATTATACGATTAAAGCTGTGTGCTGGAGGCTCACACTTGTAATCCTAGCTACTCAGGAGGTTGAGACCTGATGATCACAGGTTAAAGCCAGATGGGACCATAAAGTCTGAGATTCTTTTGCTCCAATATACTAAGCCTAAAGTGGTGATATGATTCAAGTGGCAGAGTGCCAGCCTTGACCAAAAATGCAAAGCAAGACTGTGTTTCCCTGAGGTCAAGCCCCAGTATTAGTACACACACACACACACACACACACACACACACACACACACACACACACACATCTCTGATCATTCTTTCATTTTCAATATGTCTCTGTCTCTTTCCATCTCTCCTATAGTTTCACACTGTTCAGAATTCCGTGGACTCATATAGCACATATATGCCTCTTTCCTCAAACATAGTACTCTTTGTATCATGGAAATATAGCTTCAATTTACCAAAACATTTCATTTTGGTATTTCTACATATGCATATAATGTATTTTGATCCAATATACTGTATGTTATTATTCCTTTAATCCCCTTTTATTTTCCTTCTTCCTTGTTGGTATGCTTTTCATGTGATACTTTCTTTAATCTACCATCTTCCACAAAGTATGTTTATTCATTAGTGTATTTATTCAACAAATATTCTTAGTCACTGAATCAAGTGACCTTTATTTAACTCTCATAATTTCTACCATCCTTGAAACACTTTTCTCAGAGGCGTTGTGCTCAGCAAATTCTTCTCCCCCTCTACTGTTTTGTATTTCTTTCACTGTCTGACTCTTTCCAACTTCCAACTCCCTTAAGACAAGAATCTCCAGGAAGATCTCTTAGCCTTCTTATCTTTTATTTTCATTCCTTTATTAGCATGATTTAATCTCCTGACTTCAATCTATATGCAAATGATCATATTTGTCCTTGTCACTCCTAATCTCTTCAGTTACAGTCACATTTTTTCCCTTGCTGGTACTGAGACTTGAACTCAGGACCTGGGCACTGTCCTTTAGCTTTTCACTCCAAGCTAGTACTCTACCACTTAAACCACAGCTCCAATTCTGACTTTTTAGTGGTTAATTGGAGACATGTGTCTCATTGACTTTCCTTCCTGGGCTGGCTTTAAATCATGATCCTCCGACCTCTTATGACTTAATAGCTAGGATTACAGGAGTCAGCCACTGGCACCCTGCACAACCACCTTTCTCATCCCCAAGTCTTTGGTATGTATCAGTACTTTGATGTGCACTGATGTCTCAAACCTAGTAAACTATATTTCACAGCTCATACATTGTTTTTCTTGTCCTCTGTGTTATATAAATCAGGAAATGACTCAACAGTAAGTCTTGCATATGAGACATATTCTTTATTCTTTCTATCCACCTGCTATTCAGTAATGAAACAAATTTACTCAGTTGTATCTTTATACAATTTCTCCCTTACGTCTACTCAATTGACTCAATTTTCATAGATGTCATTCTAGTTAAAGCTTTCTTCCAGTTGTTTGCAAGCTTCAGGCTGTTCTCTTGCTCTTTTATTGACTTTACAGGAATATTGTCTTCCTTGCAGAGGAACTATGTCTTTATGTGAGAATTTTCCTAGGTGTTAGATGAAATTATATTTCTGCTATGAAGACCTTATTTATTTTTGTGTTCCTTACACAGCTTAAGCTATATTCATGTAATAAACCTTTTGATGCTTTAGTAATTTGCTTTGGTATTAGGTATGTCACAAAGTCCTGAAATCAGGCTTTCGAAGTTATCCATACTTTGATTCAAGTCCTACAATTGTAAATGGATAAAAGGAATTGCACTCCTTGGATTCTTACCAGAACACAAAAGAGGCACTTCTCTTATTCAATATTTGCAGTTGTAAAGTCTTTTAAAAACACATCTACTTCATCGAGTACAATACATTTGTCAGACAATTTACCTGAAGTAATATTTTAGGGGACAGTTAAATGGGATGGATTTGTTGAAGCAGCTACTTACTTGCAGAATTAAGATTCAAACCTGATATCATGCTTGTAAAACAGCTGTGATATTTCACAATTGAAATGCCCAGCCCTACCAGCCAAAGGGTTTGTTCCTTTCTCAACGTTGCTTCTTCCTCTTAGTCTTTTACTATCTAAAAAAAGTATTTGGAAAGCAAAACCTATCCTGTGTCCTTTCTCTCTCTGGGTGATGAACAGTAGTTTTCAAACATATAGGAAATACCTATGACCAATAGGACAGGTAAATAATTATTTATACATTTGCAAAATAAGTAGTAATGGAACATATAAAATAGAAATACTTAACATATGTAGAAAATATGTGAAAAAGCATCTTCATAACTGAAGAGATCTGTAAAATACATCCTAAACTATTAATTACATCTAACAGAAAAATCGGGATGCTTATAATAACAATGGGGGGAATAGCAAACTTGTACTTATGGGTCTCTTTGTTATAATTGATGGTAAAGTTCAGATGAACAATTCTCTTTAAAATTTTAGCTCAAACATATTTATAAAGTGTAAGATTAAGCTGCGATTCATTGGACAATACTAGATAGCTAAAAATAGCAACTACATATTCGGGGACTTGATTAAAAGGAAGTACTCATCATGCAATGTGTGCACATGTGTTCAAAGTCTGTCTCTCTTCACCATTTGTGCTTTTCAATGCTTCAGACACTTAAAATGTTTCCTCCACATTTTGACATTGTGTACAGTTTTGTCATCAGCATAGAAGTGTAAATATCTCTAAGATACTGATTTTGATTCTTTGGATAAAATACCCAGAAGTGAAATAGCTGGATAACATGACAGCTGAACATAATAGCTGTGGTTAATTTATATCTAACCTCCATTATATTAGTCTAATTTCATACATGCCTATTTTAGCGAGAGTTTTTGAATATCATAAAATGCTATTGGATTTTGTTAATTATCTTTTCAGCATCAACTGAGATCATTATTTAACTTGTAAATCATCTATTCTGTTAAAGTGTTATACTAATTAGTTTACTTCTTTCTTCCCTTCTTTCTCTTTCTTTTCCTTCCTTCCTTTCTTTCCATTCCCTCCCTTCTTTCCTTCCTTCCTTCCTTGCTTCCTTCTTTCTTTCTTTCTTCCTTTCTTTCTTTCTTTCGTTCTTTCTCTCTCTCTCTTTCTTCCTTCCTTCCTTTCTTTCTTTCTTTCTTTCTTCCTTTCTTTTTTCCT